GACGCGGGGCTCGAACTCACCGACCGCGAGATCATGACCTGAGACGAAGTCGGCCGCTTAACCGACGGAGCCACCCAGGAGCCCCCTGAAGCATTTTTTTAAGTTTATTTATTTATTTTGAGAGAGCACAAGCAGAGGAGGGGCAGAAAGAGAGGGGGAGAGAGAATCCCAAGCAGGCTCTGTGCTGTCAGCATGGAGTCCAATGTGGGGCTTGAATTCACAAACTGTAAGATCATGACCTGAGCTGAAATCCAGAGTCGGACACTTAACTGGCTGAGCCACCTAGGCGCCCTGAAAATCCTGAAGCATTTTAATTTCACTTCTCTGTCTTGTAAGATTAGGTGATTTTATTTTAAAAATAAATAAACTTTATTGAAGTACAACACACATCTGCAAACGTGCACGAATCCCAAGTATACAATTTATGAATTTTCGTAACCCTCGTAGCCACACTGTTCTATTTTTATTGCATTGTCTTTGACAAAATTTCATAATTATACATAAGAAAATATATTGTTGTTCAGGGTTCTATGGTCTCCGGAAGTTACGCTTAAGATATTTTGCTTTTTTGTTCTCATGATTACATTAACTCTCCGAGTTTTTACATATTTCAAGGAACTCTAAATTTCCATTCAGAATATTGTTGTTATTCTTAGTTCAGGATAGGGAAATTGGCCTTCAGAGATTAAAGATGCAAAAAAGTGAAAACTGCAAAATTATTGACAGCTAGGCTCAGCAGATTTAATTTTTCTTTCATTCCCAACTGCGGCTGGTTGTGTGGAACTTGATTCCTGTGCCTCTGCATATGATACAGCTCAGGTTGCTAATCTGAAGAAGCAGATCAGCAGCCAGCGGTAAGTGTGTCAGGCCTAGAAATCCTAGACCAAGCTGGGAGGGACTTTAGAGGTCATTAGCCCAAGATAGGGAAACTGAGTCCTGGAAGGTTACATGCCTTGCCCAGGGTTGCGGAGTTAGTACCAGCGCTGAATCTAGAATCCTGATCCTAAACCCCATTAGTAGACCACGCTAAGCCTCTATGCTCCTCTTAAAACTCACCCTTTCTACTAAAAAATGCAGTCCTCAGACTTTGAAATCGACTTCTCCGGAAAGATGAATAACCTAGCATGTTTTTCAGCCAAACTTCTTAATGGGGATAACCTGACAGCATTGACCTGCTTTCGGTTGCTTCGGGTGAATGAAGGATGGTGTCGGGTTGATATAAATGCCAGTCTGTAATTGTTTAGAGCAGTTCTGGGAGGACATTCATCTGGAATAACCCTGGCAGTAGGGAAAGTATGGCGTGATGTCGACTTGTGACCCCTTCCCTGGGGAGTGAGCTGTGTCAGGAGACCCAGCAGTGTTCTGGAATACTGGGTCTCAAGTCTCTTCCGGGACACAGGACAGGGGGACAGGCTACTGTTCCTGGGCAGTGACCATTGATGGCTTACGACTTTTTTGCTTTTGAGATTTTGTTTCAGGTAACGAAAGGTAGATCGGTAAATAAAGCTGCTCTTTGGTTTTCTAAGGGAGGCCAGGCAACATATGTTTAGTACGTGCTGATCACTGTGGCGGGCCCTGGGGACTTAGTGCTTAACAAAACATGGCTGTAAGGACTTCGTCTGTGGGGCCAGCCGTTCCGGGGAGAGATCACCACTGCCATCCAGAAATCTTGGTTCTGTTGGAATATCAGATCGGTGAAATGCACAAGGGTCTCATCGTAGCAGACTGACTTTTGCCCGCCTGTTTGTCAGAAAGGATATCCTCTCAGTCCCACATGGCGGCCAACCTCGGCCTGACCTTCAGTGCCACCCTCCACAGTCCCATCCACCAGACCCTTTCTGCCCTTTCTCACTCTCTTCCCAGAGTCCAGGCTTTCCTCAGAGGCCAGGCTCGTTCCGTCCCCAAACATCTGTGACCGTCCTTACTTTTCAGTATGTTTTCCCCTTGTTTAGAATGCCCCCTCCCCCTTTCTACTTCTCTGGATCCTGCCCAGCCCTCGAGGCCCAACCTGGTTCTCATCTTCTCTTGTCAGCGCTCCTGTGGCACTTGTACCCATACCACGGGGAGATGACAGAGCCACAGCTCAGCCTGCTGAAGGAGAGAATGGGCTCTGGAGCCTGTATAACCGTGGGCTGGAACCTTTCCTGAATCTAGACTTCTTCATCCGTAAAAATGGGAGTCATAATCTACCCTTAGCCCACGGTTGTGTGTACTAAATGAGTTCATAGCATTAAAGCCTGTAGAACAATGCCTGGCGCATAAGTTCTCATTAAATTTTAGTTATCATTCCTTCTCGCATATATTTAATCACGGCCTTCCTTGCGTTAAGTGTTTAATCACTTTAAGTAGCTGCTTACTGGCCCCTAGTGAAATTCTAAAGCCCTCTCATGAAGAAAGAATCCTGATTTTATACTTTCTGTTGACGCTTTTCAGTCCTACGTGTGCATATAAGAGTTCCCCAAGACATATCGCTTAAAACGAAGCTATTACTGTATTAAAGAAAACAGATGGAGCCAACGTAAGAAACTGAAGAGAGAAGATAGGCTTCAGTTCACAGATGGAGTTTGCTTATGATTCTCAGAGCATGTCATTTGTTCTTTTTTTCATTGTTGTTGAGTCTTGTGAGTCCTGCTGTCATAGTCACCGGAAGTGTGAACATCATTTAGCAAAGATGCGAGTAATTTCAGAGGTTGTCTTAGACACTCCTCTAGGCCCGTGGTGGGAGGGAATCTCAGACGGTAAATTCCGCTCTGTCAGAATATACCAGGGCAGGTGGGTCATAAGCTGGTTGTTACTAATACATCCCCCTTGCTGAGGGGCAAAGGAAATTCACCAGGGTGTGTGAGTGTTGCAGGGGGAAGGGTTGGGGGGGAACCCAAGCCTTCAGCCACCCTCCCTCTGTCTTTCCTTCCTCCTTCGTTAGCAGCTCAGGAACTCACAAGCACCTCACCTGTCCGTGTTCACAAACATTTGGAGGAAACCCAGAGTTACTCTCTGGTGGTGGGAAGAGGCGGGGGCCCAGGCAGAAAGAAGCACTCCATAGAAAGCCTGTCGCAGGCAGGCATCCCGGTGCTGGCAGGAGCCACCGAAGGGAGGGGTCTTCTGCCCTGTGCCCGGCGGTCTGGGACTTGAGCCAGGCTCTCCCGCAGAGGCCCGTGTGTGTCCTTTCCGGGATGAAAATGCCACATTTCTCCCTCTCCTAGGCTGGAACAAGATATTAAAAAGTTAAAGGCTGATCTGCAGGCCAGCAGACAAGTGGAACAGGAGCTCCGCAGCCAGATCAGCTCCCTCTCCAGCACCGAGCGAGGGATCCGCTCAGAGATGGGCCAGCTCCGGCAGGAGAACGAGCTGCTGCAGAACAAGTACGTGCGCCGCGCGGGCCTTCGGTCGGGAGCCAGGCGGCCGCACCGTCTGCGGCTTGGAGCACAGGATTTGTGATGACGGAGGGACCTGGCAAGGGGGTTTTTCGATGAAATGTTTAAAGTGTTCAATTTAGTATTAGGTAGCCAACATATTATAAAATCTATAAAAACTTACTACATTGCAACCAGTTTATTAATATTACTATTTTTTGCTCATTTAATAACTTCTTCGCTTAGTTTAAAATAGTTATTGCGCCTTTGTGATAATATCAGTAAAAGTGACGAGAAGTAGTTCTGCTACAATGTGAAAATCTTGCTCCTTTGAATGAAAGTTTCCAGGGGAATAATGCACTCTATTTACCTTCATCTCTGGAACTCAAAAATGACATTGAGCCTTGATTTTATTTGAAGAGGCAAGCAAAAAAAGCCAGCTCTTCTGTGTGAATTTGTTTATGCTTCCCATTGATTCATCCTGGAATTTCTTCTTGACTCAATATGAATATGTCATTTTTTTTATTTTCTTCAATCTCTGCAGTGTGTGCCTGGGGTAGTGATTACTATTCTAGGCTGTGGGCTTTCCCCATTGAAAGAGAAGTCCTTCAGCATTTTTGAACAGCATAACTCGAGCGTTACAGCTTGTTATAAGCAAATAACTTCTCCATTGCTTCTGGCTCACATGTGGGATGGAGAACATCTCACCTTACACTGATATACTGAGATAAACTCACCTTATATTGATAGGTAAAGCTGGGGGTGGTGGGAGGCAGGGAAGGGACTATGGCTAAAATTTCTGTCTGAAATGAAGCACCGTGTGACTCTAACTCCAGGATCTATTTTGGGATCCTCAGAAAACATCTCACAGCTGGAAAGGAAAAGCTGTATTCAGGCAAAGAACAACCTCCCCTTCCCACCCTTGACCTCAGTTTCAGTGGGGCTGGATAAAGTTTCTTCAAGGTGCTTTGGGGCACTAGACTTAGTTCTACAACTATCTTTCCCTCTGATGGAAACTTGTTTTATGCTGCTTTTCTGGATTACCTTCTGTAGATCACTTACCTTAACAGGCTAGGTCTTACTCTGTATCTTGGTAGGCAACCTCTCGGTTGATGTTTTGGAATTGTTAAATAATAACAACATTATGTTTTTCCTGGGATCTCTGGGAGCTGACTCTTATGATTTGCTGTTCAAAAGAGGAGCCATGTTTCTCCAGGGCTCCGAGTGGGCATTTCTAATTACAAAACTCTATGATAATCATTTCCATATAGATTACATAATGCTGTGCAAATGAAGCAAAAAGACAAGCAGAATATCAGCCAGCTGGAGAAAAAGCTAAAAGCTGAGCAGGAAGCCCGAAGTTTTGTAGAAAAGCAGTTAATGGAGGAGAAAAAAAGGAAGAAGTTAGAAGAAGCCACTGCTGCCCGGGCCGTTGCATTTGCTGCTGCGTCGAGGTATGTCTGCGTCACCCGAGCGCTTCCTCTGAGGTTGGCCTGCCTTGCAGCAAGACAGGCATGGGGATTTGAGGCCTTGGGCAGGATTGGAATAGAGCGATCGTGCAGGGATAGGTGGCCACCGAGCACTGTTGCATGAGCTGGCCAAGCCCCGTCTGTGCAACTCGCACTGTCTTGTAACGGCTTTGTCCTTTGGCCACCTCATCGATGGAGTGGGAGGAGGGACTCACCATGGTTCCCGCACCGGGGAGCAAAGTGCTGCTTGTAAATGGGTTTCCAGTCACTTTGTGTGTGGCCAGTAACTACTAAACGCTTGGAGAGATTCCAGTCTGGGATTTTATTCCCTTTATAGAGCTGTCGCTACTCTCTACTCTCAGGTGTGTGTGTTTCTGGAGTTTTTATCTTAAAGTAGAAGACAGGGAAAATGTTGCTTGCCCAAGTACTTTGTACTGATCGCTCCTGTCTTTGTTGGATATCAGCAAACTGTCAAATGAACTGGAAAAGATGAAAGGAAACTTAGGTCACTATTAGATATCATTGAATTTGTGGAGTGAGGAGAACTGGGGACTACTTCTACACCATTGAAAAGGATGTAAGGATTCCAGAAACTGATATGTAATTGCCACCTGAATTCCAGCAAGGAGAGAAGGTCGTTTAGAGAACTCTTGGGCGGGGGTAGAGTGCTGGCAGCGGAGGGGAGGGGGTGCTCTGCTTCACTTTATCACTTTTTCCCTTCTGTGTCTGTTTTGACTAGTGAATTCCATCTGTGTGTAGGGGTCAGTTATGGGTTTACAGTTGCAGGGCGAGGGTAAACTATTATTTATTTCATTTTAAGTCTTGACCCTAATTTGTATCTACGTGATACATCTCTACTGTCATTCTTCCTTAAGTTTTGCTCTTTGCCTTACGACATGTTAAAAGCCTTCTCTTGGGCTCTGTAGAATAACTGATGGACCATCATTTCGTATTTAAGGAAATAATAGCCAGAGAGAACTCGTTCCTCCTGTGTGAGCCCGCCACCCCCAGTAGACTCTCTAGTGCACGTAGCTGAGCTCACTTGGCCCATCAGCGTCTATACAGACTCACAAGACACTTTACGAGCCTGCCTAGCACGTGGGGGTTTTGTTTATTCATTTGTTTAAAGATTTGTAAGCACAGACTTCTGAAAAAAGCCCAAGTTTCTGAAGCACTGACACTGGCAGGAGATTTTTCTGAACAGTCACCTGGTGTGGCTTGTGCTGTCCTTAATTCGTCCAGCACCTACCCTGAAAAAAAAGTCCACTGAGGAGGATATGACAGTCCCTTAACCAAGTTGTTCAGTGCCTGATGCCTGAGAATCAGGACCTTGGTTTCAGTCTCTTCCCTGACTCCCTTTCGCTTCCAGTCAAGCCTGTTTGTTTTGGTCTTCCCCTTAGATGGCCCTTGTCTGCCATCCCTTCCGTAGACGCCGTCTGTATTCCCGAGTAAATCTCCAGGTGTAAGTCTCTCGCTGGACCTTCCTTTTTGGTAGGCACAGGACACCTGCTTTCTCCATCTGGCTGTGTCTGTGATGTAAATGCTTAATCAGCTTCAGAGTGGCCATTGCCATCACCTTTTTTAGTTTGTCCTTATTACGGCCCTGAGAAGCAGCCTGATGCTGTGGCAACTTCATGATTCCAGGAAGGTGAACTTGCCAATGCATAGACCCTCAAAAGTGAAAACTTTTTAGCTCACTGCCCCCTGCTGGAGACAGCACTTGCCCGGGGCTCTCTTACTCAGCTCCTGGGCACCGCCTCAGGTCATGTGGCCTGGTGGAAGCTGGCTGCGTTAGGAAGCTGGAAAACCTCACTTCTCATCCCAGTTCTGAGAGCTACCAGCGAGGTGGTGTTGGACTAGTATTATATCTGTGTGGTCTCAGTTTTCTTATCTGGAAAATGGGACAATATGTCCTGCCCTTGCAAAGAAGGCAGAATGGGTAAAGTACCTCACTTTACGCCTGGCTTATATTAGATACCCAATTAATGATAATTATTTTAGATCATTGTTGCAACAATCAAGGAACAGAGAATGAGCAGACTGAGCCAAAAACTAAAACCTGACCAACTCCGGAGTAGAAGAGAAATATCAGTCCTGCAGTGTAAGTAAACCATATAGTCTTTTAAATCCCTTTCTTTACTTCTCTTTTTTTTCAAAAGGGGGGAGTGCACCGAAACCTTACGGAATCGGATCAGAGAATTAGAAGCAGAGGGCAAGAAGCTCACGATGGACATGAAGGTGAAAGAAGACCAGATCAGAGAACTAGAACTGAAAGTTCAGGTACGGGGGGCACAGAGGACTTTCTCATACTTGGGTTCCTCTTCTGTGTTAGCTGTGTGCTCACTGCTGCAGTGTGGAGATGGTGCCTTTTGATAAAAGGCCAAATCCCACCACCTCAGAAAATCTCTGAAGGCCAAAAAGAAGCTCTAGCCTCATGCAGCTCGTTCAAGTCACATTTAATTAGCTGGATTCTAACACAACCAGGAATGCTGATGGTCCTTTGACACGGTTTATACCAGAATTTGACTTCCTGTAGATTCATCTCATTCTTTCAGGTTATAGGCCAGACTAGTGATCTTTGGAACGTGTATGCCTCTTCTTAGCCCTAAACCTCTGTCCATCACCAGGGAATTCACCATTCTAGATGGCTCTGCACCTTGCAGATTGCAGTTCTGAGCAGTGCATGAGAGGAAAAGCTGCCAGTGCTATGGACACAACCAGTTTTCTGACCCATGTGGACTTTAGCCAAGTATTTGGCATTGGTTCTGCAAAGGGACATTTAAAAGTAATGTTAGGGGGCGCCTGGGTGGCTCCGTCGGTTGAGCGTCCGACTTCGGCTCAGGTCATGATCTCGCGGTCTGTGGGTTCGAGCCCCGCTTCGGGCTCTGTGCTGATGGCTCGGAGCCTGGAGCCTGCTTCCCATTCTGTGTCTCCCTCTCTCTCTGCCCCTTCCCCGCTCATGCTGTCTCTCTCTATCTCTTTCTCTCTCTCTCTCTCTCTTTCTCTCTCTGTGTCAAAAATGAATGTACATTAAAGAAAAAAAAAGCAACGTTAGGGTCCCTGGGTGGCTCAGTCGGTTAAGCATCCGATTCTTGATTTCAGCTCAGGTTGTGATCTCACAGTTTGTAAGATCGAGCCCCACGTCGAGCTCTGTGCTGACAGCGAGGAGCCTGCTCAAGATTCTCTCTCTCTCTCTCTCTCTCTCTCTCTCTCTCTCTCTGCCCCTCCCCTACTTGCACATGCACACACTCTTTCTCTCTCAAATAAATAAACTTAAATTAAAAAAAAAAGGGAAGTCGCTAGAGTAGATGACACAACTTGGGAGACCAAGCCCAAAGTGTGTAATAAAAGTGGCAGCACAAATGGATGGGACAGTGAGGATCAGTCAGAAAAAGGCTTTGGAACAGTTAAATGACCAGGAAAAAAATTAGAAGCTCATCTCCTACCACACAAAAAGAAATTCCAGATGAAGAGTTGAATTCGGGGTGAAAAGAAGCATTTTGTTTTAAACTGAGTGAAAATATACTAGAATTTATTTGATCTTGAAACCGGGAAAAATGTTCTAAACGAAAATAATGGGGGAAAAAAATCACAAAACAAAAAAAAAACAAATCAAAAAAATCCATTGAGGGGGGTACAGGTATTGCAACAAATATAAGGAATTAATACTCTTGATATGTAAGTAGCTCATAAAATTTGTTAAGTGAAGCTCAGTTGGAAAAATAGGCAAAAGATGTGAACAAATAATTCACAGAAGAAAAAGAAATGGCTGAAAAGAATATAAGGATATATCCTCATCAATCACCAAAGACCTATAGATTAAAATTAGATATAATTTCTCTCCTGTAGAAATTTGTTTCTTTTTTTTTTTTTAATTTTTTAATGTTTATTTACTTTTGAGAGAGAGCGAGAGAGACAGAGCATGAGCAGGAGAGGGGTAGAGAGAGAGGGAGACACAGAATCTGAAACAGGCTCCAGGCTCCGAGCCGTCAGTACAGAGCCCGACACGGGGCTCGAACTCACGAACCGCAGGATCATGACCTGAGCCGAAGTCGGACGCTGAACCGACCGAGCCACCCGGGTGCCCCTGTTTCTTTCTTTCTTTCTTTTTTTTTTTTTTTAAATTTTTTTTTTTTCAACGTTTATTTATTTTTGGGACAGAGAGAGACAGAGCATGAACGGGGGAGGGGCAGAGAGAGAGGGAGACACAGAATCGGAAACAGGCTCCAGGCTCTGAGCCATCAGCCCAGAGCCTGACGCGGGGCTCGAACTCACGGACCGCGAGATCGTGACCTGGCTGAAGTTGGACGCTTAACCGACTGCACCACCCAGGCGCCCCTCTTTCTTTTTTTTTTAATGGCATTATATTTGGCATACAATGTGACTTTAGTTGTAGGTGTACAACGTAGTGATTGCACACAACTCTGTACGTCATGCTGTGTTCAATGCAAGTGTCCCCATACAACACTAGGGTGTAGTTGCAGTCCCTCGACTGTATTCCCTATTCTGTACCTTTTTATCCTTGTGACTTATTTATTCTGAACTAGAAGCCTATACCTCTCACTTCACCCCTCACCCATTTTGCCCACCTCACAATCCCCTTACCCTCTGGCAACCACCAGCTCTCTGTATCTTTGGGTCTGTTTCTGCTTTTGTTTGTTTCTTTGTTCATTTGTTTTGTTTTTCAGATTCCTTACATCAGTGCCGTCACGTGATACTTGTATCTCTCTGTCTGCCTTATTTCGCTTCGCATAGTTTCTTCTAGGTCCATCCATGTTGTCCCAAATGGCAAGATCTTGTTCTTTTTTATGGCTGAGTAATATTCTTCTCTGTGTGTATGTGTACAAATACATATCATATTTTATTTATCCACTCAGCTCTTGATGGACCCTTGGGTTGCTTCCATGTCTTTGCTATTGTAAATAATGCTACAAAAAAACATAGGGGTGCATGTTTGGTGTTTTTGTTTTCTGTGGGTAAACACCCAGGAGTAGAATTACTGGATCATATGGTATTTCTACTTTTAATATTTTGCGGAACCTCCATACTGGCTGCACCAGTTTACATTCCCACCAGCAGTGCACAAGTGTTCCTTTTTCTCCACATCCTCACCAACATTTGTTATTTCTGGTCTTTTTGATACTAGCCTCTCTGACAGGTATAAGGTGATTTTGTTATTTTGCCTTTTTCTGATGATTAGTGATGTTGAACATCTTTTCGTAGTATGTCTTCTTTGGAAAAATGTCTGCTCAGATCCTCTGCCCATTTTTAATCAGATTGGTTTTTTTTTGGTTTTGAGTTCTGGAAGTTCTTTATATATTTTGGATATTAACCCCTTAATATCTCTTTTGCACATATCTTCTCCATGTAGTAGGTTGCCTTTTCATTTCGCAAAAGTATTTTGGTGTAGTCTCAATAGCTCATTTTTGCTTTTATTTTCCTTATCCCTTGTGAAATTAGCAAAGAATTTTTAAATGATAATATCAGCCTGGGTGAGGATAATAGGAACAGGCCTCATAATTGCTGGCAGAAGTGTAACTTTCTGGAAAAGTTCATATACTTTTTAAGTATTTCCCTTTTCAGAACTCCTGCCTAAGATAAACATTTTAAAATCTCATCATTGATTGATAAACGAAGATGTTCATCATAGTGGTATATAAATGAAAACAAAATCTTAACAAAGGGAGATTCATTTAATAAATTATGGTACATATACAAGTTAAAAATTACATTTTCAAAAACCAGTTGATTTAAAAAAACTATACAAAACTACATATGGTGTGATCTCATTTATGCTAAAAGATATACATATGCTTCTAAAAGACTAAAAATATGTGAAGTTTCTTATGCTGTCAGGAATTTGAGTAATTTTCATTTTCTCCTTTGAACTTTAACATATTTCTAATTCTCCGTAATAAGTTTGGATTTCTCTTAAAATGAAAAAATTAAAATATCTGTATGTGTGTATATTTATATTTATATTTAAATATATGTATTTATTGGCTACATTACCAGTTGTTTTAAGTGGGCTTACTCTGCAGTATGTCCTATCAAAATAATGAACATTTTTTATAACTTTTTAGTGCAAGTTGAGAGTAGACTTTTGGCAAATTGATTACAGCATTACAGCAGCATTTGCAACTGGCGGCAAGGAAAAAGTTCTTTGTACGTTCTGAATTAGGCTTGTAAGAAAGTGTTTTATTTGGAAACAGAGTCCACTGTTACTAGAAACAGCCCAACACCATCAAATTCATCTACTAAGATAGTTTTGTATGTCATATCATCATATAAATACATTTTTCACTCCCTCTAAGTGGTAAGATTCTTAACCCATGAAACACCCGGATTCTGTATTCTAGGGGCCAGGTCAGTAATAGTGGGATTTTATTTGTGATTTCAGGCTAATTTGTAGACATCGATGCCAAAACTATCTTGTAACATCTTGCTGCTTTGATGATGTTGATAGGAGCTTCGGAAGTATAAGGAAAATGAGAAGGACACTGAGGTGTTAATGTCAGCCCTCTCGGCCATGCAAGACAAAACACAGCACCTGGAGAACAGTCTGAGCGCAGAGACGAGAATCAAGCTGGACCTGTTCTCTGCACTGGGGGACGCAAAGCGACAGCTCGAGATCGCCCAAGGTAGGAGAGCAGCGGGCCCCAGAGGAGGTGGTGTGACGAACAATGCACAGGAACACAGCACACGTCCCTTAGAGCTCAGAACCAAAGACATTCAGTTTTCTTGGTTTGTAAGTGCCCGACCTTGACATCTAGGAATTATCACACTAATTCATTCCGCAGACGTATTTTGAGGTGAGAGTATGTCAAGTGCAGGGCACACAGAGAAGAGGATGAGTTTCTGTGCTCAAGGAGTTCACGGTGTTGTTGAAGAAAGAGACAACCGCGGAGTCACCCAAAGGTGGTGGTGTAGGAACATACCGAGGGGCAGGGACTGAGCCAGTCTGGGAGTTAGAGGGCTGTTTCTCAGGGGAGCTGATGTCTGAGTTCGGTTTTGAGTGATGAGCAGGGGTTAGCTCAGTGACGAAGCAGTGTAGGAGGGCGAGGGGCAGAGAGGCATCTGAACAGAAGAAACAGCTTGGGGGAGGCCAGGGAAGCTAGGAAGGCCTGACGCGTTCCAGGCCGCAGCCGGCTGTACATGGTTACGAACGAGGGAGCACTGGGAGCAGCTTCTGGAGAGTAGGCCGTGCACTCCACAGCTACTTCCTGAGGCCCTACTGTGTGCTGGGCACTGCAAGACGCCCCAAGGGGACAGGCAATAACAAGCAGGCATAGAGCGTATCAGGTGCTGATGGATGCAGGGATAAAAATGAGGCAGTATCCAGGCAAGAAGTGTGAGGGTCTGTGTGGGGCCACTAGTTTGACACGGTGGTCGTGGAAAATCCTTTGAATAGGTAGCATTTGGGCAGAGGCTGAAAGTAAGAGAGCGAGGGAACCACGTAAATCTAAAATCTCCGGGGGAAAAGCACTTCGGGCCTCAGGAGCATAGGCCACAGCCTGAGGGGCGGGTATGGTTGCTGGCGTCAGAGTGGCCGGGCCACATTTGTAGCCCTTGGAAAGAACTTGGGACTTTGCTCTGAGTAACACGGGAAGCTTTGGAAGGCTTCTGAACAGAGGCCTGATACAACCTGATGAAAAGAAATTTAGATTTTGTCCAAGAAACTAATTAGCCAGCATAGATTACTGAAAAAGAAAAATCAAACAGCTGACTTAGTAGGAGAAGGTTATTTCAACAGGCACTTAAAGAACATTCAAAGCATGCGTACGAGGAGCTGAAGGAGAGAGAGGTACAGATAAGACACAGTGTGGTGGGGGGGGGGATCTACTAGGGTGTGCAAACTTTTTGGTCTTGGGGACTCCTTGACACTCTTAAAATTATTGAGTAACCCAAGGAGATTTTTTTCAAGTGGGTTATGTCAATCAGTATTTACCTATTAGAAACTGAAACTTGGGGGCACCTGGGTGGCTCAGTCGGTGAAGCATCCGACTTTGGCTCAGGTCATGATTTCGCAGTCTGTGAGCTCAAGCCCCATCTCGGGCCCTGTGCTGACAGCCCAGAGCCTGGAGGCTGCTTCGGATTCTGTGTCTCCCTCTTTCTCTGCCCTTCCCCGCTCGTGCTCTGTCTCTGTCTCTCAAAAATAAATAAACATTAAAAAAAAATTTGTTTAAAAGAAATTAAAACTTAAAACATGTATTAATTCATTTTCAAATAGCATAATAAACATATAACTTATTTGTATGAGAAAGAACTATATTTGCCCAAAACCCCAGAGAAAATTTAATGAGGAAAAATGGCATTGTTTTACTCTGAGCCAATCTCTTTAGTTTCTGGTTCAGTAGAAGATAGTTCGGTTCTCATCCCTGTTTCTACCTTCAGTCTGTTGTAATTTTACTTGCATGTGGTTTCTAGAAGACTCCACTTACCCCCAGGAGGGAATGAATGTGCAGAAGGCCAACGATGTATTAGTATGATCACAAAGATGGTTGGACCCTGTGGGCCCTGTGTACAGCAGAGAGGCCTATTGCCAGTGGGTAGAGGTGGGGGACTGGAAGGGCCAGAGCAGTGATCAGGGGTGGCTTCACGAGGGAGGGGACATTGAGTGGACTTTGAAGGATGGATTCTGAGGGCAGAGAATGGCAGGGGAAAGACATTGTTACCTGGGGGGCTCGTGCAAGCAAAGGAAAGAAAGTGCTGGGAACGTCCAGATGAGCGGTGGCCTCAGGCTGGAGGACTTGGGAGATGAGGGGGACCGTGAATGAAGCCAAACCAGACTGTGTCTTCCCTAGATTTTTCAGGAGGGACGGGGTGACGTGTTCTGGCCATTATTTTGGAAACGTCTTTCCAATCGCAACGTGAAAGATGGATCTGGAAGGTGAGATTGAGGAGAGGCAGGTAGACTCCCTAGGAGGCTGTGACTGTCTTTTGTCTCAGAGGTGGGGAGTGTGGGGGAGGGAGGGTGGTCCAGACAGGGAGGGAAGGAAAGTGGAGGCACCTGGGGGATGTGGGAGGATAAAGTTGCCGGGAGCAGAGAAGAAGAACAGAACAGAGTCAGGGAACGAGAAGAGAGAGTGACTTTGGTTGGAGATGCTCTGAGTTGGAGTCGTTTCCTGGACACCCAGGTGAGAGATCATCGTCAGTCAGGGGGCATTTGGGGTCTCATCTCCAGCGAGAGGGCCTAAACCCCGGGAGCAGGGGGGAATATACAAGTTGTGAAAAGTTAATGGAGCCGTAGGAGGGGGCTTGGGATGGCCCAGATGATAGAGCAAGAAGAATGGCAGGTTGGGAGTCGGGCTTATTAATCTGTGGACTCAGGGGAAAGCATTTAAGAAGAAGGTTCCTGGGAATTCTGTTCTAAAGCTGACCTTCTGGGGCGCCTGGCTGGCTCAGTTGGAAGAGCACGCAGCTTTTCATCTCGGGGTCATGTGTTCAAGCCCCACGTTGGGTTGTAGAGATTACTTAAACTTAAAAAAATTTTTTTGGTTTAAATAAATAAAGCTGAACTTCTGGCCACACACTGGTTCCTTTGCCCTCCTGGCTCAGCTGGCTGCGAAAGGGGCCACCTCATTTCAGTTGCTCGGATTTGCACTGTGGGAGGACAGCCCCCTAGAGTGCAGGAGCACCTGGTCTCTGAATGGCCAAGGGGAGTTTGGCTTCCCAGCACAGACTGGGCTTCGGTGTCAGCCCAGGAATTCTTGCAAAGAGACAAAAAAGCAAAGAGAACTGCCTTTTTCAAAGCTCTGGGAATGTTTGCATGTTACTGATTAAAAAAATCAAACTTGCATCTGCTTGGGAAAAAAAAAGGATACAGCAGCTCACAGATGCCGTTAGGTATTTTATTCATCTGAGGCTTATTTTGTTTAAAGGGAAGGAGGATATTTGATGCGAACCTGAAGCTGAGGGGCCATGAAGGAAGTCAGAGCAGTTCCTTTCTACTGCTCTTTGCTGGGCCTTCCCACTACTTCCCTCCCTTGTCAAGCTGAGAATATTCTAATAAGGATCCAACTTTGTAATTCAAATCAAACCCCTTGTTGCTTTTCTGCTTCCTACTTTCTGTATCATTTGATTCATCCCAGTTCCAAAATGACTTTCATCTCTACTACAAGCTTTTTAAAGATATGTCACTGCGCCCTCTTGCATTTCAAATATATTACCACCTTCTGCAGGACTCAAAATGAGTGCAACTCAAATGCAACCTCTTTTTTGTTTTTTTGAAAGCATTTAAATTTCTGAAGTTCTGAAGCGCTACTCCTGAGTGTTCTTCCCGCAGTAGACCAGGGAACTTCAAAGCGTGATGCAAATTTCGTGGGCTCTGGAACAGTGGTGCCAGGTTTAAATCCCGCTCTACCTCTTAATCACGGAATGACTTTGGGCAGGGGACATAACTTGCAGAGCCTGAGCTTTCTGGGGGGCTGGGCACTAGGGATGTGGCAGCGAACAAAGGGACAAACCCAGCTTCTGCCCTCATGGAGCAGAGGCCACTGGAGATGACGGGCACAGAGCGTCACCCAAATGAGTAGTTACAGGAGGTAAAAGAATGTGGTACGTGGGAGTGCAGACTGGAGCCAGGCCGCACACAGTTGAATCCTGGCTCTGTCATTCGGCCTCTCTCTGCCTCAGTTTCCTCATCTATAAAATGGATGATGATAATGATGATGGTAATTCCCACATCCTAGAGTCATTGTGATAAGTGAGTTTGTCTATGTAAGCACTTAGAACAGTGCCTGGCGCTTGTGTGTTAGCCGTTGTAATTATTATCCTTATTAGAAGAAAAGGACAAAAAGGAAAGCATGGGATGTGTTGAGAATCTAGGGATTGGGGGGGTGTGTGCAGGGTCGGGTCTGATTTTAAGGGGAGGGTCAGGGAAAGTCTGGTGAGGAAGTGAAACCTCAGGAGTGAACACAGAGCAGGAGAAGCACAGAAGAGGAAGCGGCCCAAGGCAGGAGTTGGTTGGGTCAAGAAGCTAAGCATAGCGGGGGGAGGGGGGGGATGCTGGGCGGCCGAGTCAGGTAACGTGAAAGTGTCCAGCAGGTGCAAAGTGGGCCGACAGGCCGAGCGGCACAGTGCCAAGAGGTGGGGACGAGCACACTGTGTCACTCTAGACCCCCCAGTGCAGCCGCTGCCGGGCTTCGTGTGCCTTCCGTAGGGGAACCCGGAGGCCCAGCGTGCGGTGATGGATTCTCGGGCCTCAGGTGTTCTGTATCCCTCGGTCTGACACTCAGATGTCCAGCCTCCCAGAAAAATATTCCCGCTCAAGAGGTGCAGCCGTGGTGCACCCTCTCGGCTGCCGTGGGTGACTGCCGTGCTCCACACATGGCTCAACGTGTCGCTTGTCACCCCTCCATAAACAGAATCCCTTTTTAAACACCTGTAAAACCACGGTCCACAGGCCAGACTGGCCTGCCACCTGTTCTTGTATTCCCCATGGGCTGAGAATGGTTTTTGCATGTTAGAAAAAGGCGGGGGGGAGCGCCTAGGTGACTCAGTTGAGCATCTGACTCTTGACTGCGGCTCAGGTCATGAGATCGAGTCCCGAGTCGGGCTCCACACTGAGAGCATGGAGCCTGCTTCGGATTCTCTCTCTCCCCGTCTCTGTCCCTCCCCCACTGTGCTCCCTGTCTCTCTC